CAAGATACCGGCTCGTTGAGCGCTTTGGGGGCGCGCTTTGGGGGCGTGCTTTGGGGGCGTGTCCGGAGGAAGCCAAGTGACAGCTCCTTGTTGCTACTTCTGATCGACTGTGATAGGACACAGCCGATCGCAGGGTAAACAGCCAATAGTGTTGGCTGTTACCCTCATCAGGGAAAGCGCTGTGTCCATGGGACACAGCGCACAAGAGACCGGCCCCATGCGCGCCGCTGGGGGCGCGCTTTGGGGGCGTGTCCGGGAGGACGCCAAATGGCGTGTACCTGGAAAGCTGCAGCGCTTTTGAAGCCGCCAAACGGCTATTGGCCGGGCGACTAATGGTTAAAGTACACCCAATCACTAAATTCATATAAAAGGATTTAACATGTTAATGTAAAGTCAAAAGTTGTTTTTAGTATCTTCAAAATTTCATCTTATTAAAAAATAATACAAGATGATACTGCCACAGAGTTCTTTACTCAGACACTTTTTTATGGGGTGAAAACTGTCTCCCAATACTGCTCCTGCATTATCAACCTGTCACTTGTGCCCTCACGGAGGCTGCAAGTGGCTTTGCTCACACATTGTGCAGACATGGTCTACCCTTGTCACCATCAGGAAGCTGATCAAGAGCAATGATTCAGTCAGAATGCTGGAGTGCATGAATAAAATAGAATAAAGTATTTATATGGCGCTTAACACCATTAAATGATAATACACTGCTCAAAAAAATTAAAGGAACACTTTTTTATTCAGAGTATAGCATCAAGTCAATTAAATTCCTTAACCCCTCAGCAGGACTGATATCTGCTCCTTTGTGCAAGGAGGAACAGGATGAGCACTGCCAGAGCCCTACAAAATGTCCTCCAGCAGGCCACTGGTGTGAATGTCTCTGACCAAACAATCAGAAGCAGACTTCATCAGGGTAGCCTGAGGGCCCGACGTCCTCTAGTGGGCCCTGTGCTCACTGCCTGGCACCGTAGAGATCAGTTGGCATTTGCCATTGAACACCAGAATTGGCAGGTCCGCCATTGGTGCCTTGTGCTTTTCACAGATGAGAGCAGGTTCACCCTGAGCACATGTGACAGACGTGAAAGGGTCTGGAGAAGTCGTGGAGAATGTTATGCTCCCTGTAACATCGTTCAGCATGACCGTTTTGGTGGTGGGTCAGTGATGGTCTAGGGAGGCATATCCATGGAGGGACACACAGACCTCTATAGGCTACACAATGGCACCCTGACCGCCATTAGGTATCAGGATGAAATGCTTGGACCAATTGTTAGAACCCACGCTGGTGCAGTGGGTCCTGGATTCCTCTTGGTGCACAACAATGCCCAGCCTCATGTGGCGAGAGTATGCAGGCAGCTCCTGGAGGATGAAGGAATTGATACCATTGAATAGCCCCCATGCTCACCTGACCAAAATCCTATAGAACACTGCTGGGATATTATGTTTCGGTCCATCCGACACCGCCAGGTTAAACCTCAGACTGTCTAGGAACTCAGTGATGCCCTGGTCCAGATCTGGGAAGTAATACGCAGGACATCATCCGTTGTCTCATTAGTAGCATGCCCCAACATTGTCAGGCATGCATACAGGCACATGGGGGCCATACAAACTACTGAATACCATTTTGAGTTGCTGCAATAAAATTTCAGCAAAATGGACTAGCCTGCTGCATAATTTTTTCACTTTGATGTTCAGGGTGTCTCTGAATTCAGTCCTCTGTAGGTTGATCATTTTCATTTCCATCAAACGATGGGGCATCCTTACGTTCCTAACACATTACCCAGCCATATCAGTATAGATATTCAGTATGATATTTTTCCCCATTGAGATCTGTTGTGCTTTCAAAGTGTTCCTTTCATTTTTTTGAGCAGTGTATAAATATGACTCTTTTTCACAATCTCAAACAGTTCCTTAACACAGTTGGGATGAACCAGTTGCCATTGGAGATTGCCTGTACCTTGAATGATGACATCTATAACTAATTTTAACAGCACTATGCAACCTTTATTAATTTAGAGGATATGACCTTGTGGTGAGTGTGCATTTTTTATGTGGTTGCGATCTGGTGCATAATTCAAGAGGAAATGTGGAAAAACTGAAAGTTTATAATTTGGTGTTGGGACTTAATATTTGGACTTTATCTTGGACTTTGTATCTAGCTTGGATAGATGGTTACACTCAAATCTTCCATTTATGGTGTTTGAGATTGGGATAGAGAGTTATAATAATATTATCATTTAATGGTGTTAAGTGCATTACTTTATTCTGTTTTATATTTATAGGTATATAGATACACTTATCTATAAGCTTCAATTCACCAGCTGAACCTTACCAAATTCCAAGTTTTTTAAAAAAAGAAGATGGTTCTCAAAATCCATAGCAGATGCAGAAAGGGGGGGGGGATAAGTGTGTGGTCCCACTGAACCATTCTAGACCCCTTGACAGACCACATTATCCCCTGGTGAAGCACCTTGTCCCTATGGTGATGAAAACAAGGGGCTCTTCTCCACAACTCTAGGGCTTATCAGAAACAATAAAAAGGTACCCAGATCACCCCACCCCCAATGGTAATGACTAAGCAGTACATGGTACCCCTACTCATTCACACAAAAAAGTAAACATTAGTTAAAAACACTTACACATATTTTAGTCATTTATTAAAAAAAATAGAAAATGTCCCACAATGTAAATCCATCATCATTCACATCATCCAGCAATGTAGATCCTCATCGATAATTATGAGCAGCAAATGCTGAAAAAAAAACTGATGACCCTAAAGCTTAGACAGCCACTCACTAGCAATATAAGGGAAGTGGCTGAAATAGTGGTGACATCATTGCCCGAACATGGCCATGGCAATTTTATAGTATGGTTTACATTTGTGATTTCTGTGATTTACAATCAAAGTGATCACAAGGCAAAGAGCCATTCTGATTGGCTCTGTGCCTGTTTGTGAAATGAGCTGTCTAATGACAGCACACACATTTAACAGGAGTGCTGGCTGCCTTCTTCTGTTAGCCGATCCTGCTCAGATGCTCACACACTGTAGTTCGTAGCAGACATTTTATTAGGTGCTCATAGCTGCCATTATACATGTGTATATCCTAAGAACTACAACCAAAGAGAGGCTATAACACAGTTGTACCAGTATCTAAGTAGTGAGACCCCTAGAAGCCATACACAGCATATAACATATTGCTACATCCTTTCTCTTTTAAATAAAAGAACAATGAAATATAACAAACACAAATTGGTGAAGTAGAACATAGCTATAAGTTAGATATAATCCTTGAGGTGAGCCGGCTTTCTGATTGTTCTGCCAGCTTGCGTAACATATGAGGTTTCTTCACAGAAATCTTGGTGTTCTTCTGATTCTGGCAGTCTATATTCTGGGACTGTCTCTCTCTGCCTAGAGACCTCCCTATGCTCCTCAGCAGTCCCTGTTTCTTTGTTGCTGGTATTCATAGTCTCATCGCTTTGAGTGTCCATATACTGTTCCCAGGGCTCTGTATCATCTCCTTCTTGTGTTCTTCTCAGATGTCTCCGATTTCTCCTCCATCTTCTTCCTTCCTCTGTGTCAGGGCTCCCGGGTGTGACCAGAGGTGTGTGACTGACGCAGGGAAACGCAGACTTCAGATATGTTATCAACAATGTAATTTATTAACACTAACAATACAAACATAAACGCAGTGCAATACTAAAACATAACACAGTGCAAACAAACCAAACCAAACCACCCACAGATAACAGTACATACAATGCAAGCGTCGTCAGGCAGGCCGGGTCAATATCAATCGGGCAGGTAGGTACAGGGGGAGCAAGCGGAGAATGGTCGGGGTCACAAGCCAGGTTCAGCAGGTAGCGGGCAGCGTGGTACAGAGGGTCAGGCAGAGGAGAATGGTCAGACAAGCCAGGGATCAGGAGCAGGAGAATGGTCAGACAAGCCAGGGATCAGAGCAGGGTCAGCAGAGAATCAGACAGGAACAGGAACAGGAAACAGGGCCCAGGAGAAACACAACACCAAGGCAGAGTCTGCAGGTCTGAATATCCCTTAAATACACCAGTATAATTAGTTCCAGGTGTTTGACTGGCTGCAAGGTTGAGTCTCTGATTGCTGGGAGCACCCGCTGGCCAGCCCTGGTACTGCAGCTCATAAGGCAGGTGAGTCCCACTATTGCTGGCCAGTCCATTCCTGACAGTACCCCCCCCTCAAGGGGCGGCCTCAGGACGCTCCAAACAGTCCTAGCTGGGCAAAATGTTCCACCGCCCGGGTCTGGTAACTGGCGGGATATCAAAGACTGGCACACCGGGCAGGACTCCGGGCAGCGGCACACCGGGCAGAGGCACATCGGGCAGAGGCACATCGGGCTGGACTCCGGGCAGAGGCACATCGGGCTGGACTCCGGGCAGAGGCACATCGGGCTGGACTCCGGGCAGAGGCACATCGGGCTGGACTCCGGGCAGAGGCACATCGGGCTGGACTCCGTGCAGAGGCACATCGGGCTGGACTCCGTGCAGAGGCACATCGGGCTGGACTCCGGGCAGAGGCACATCGGGCTGGACTCCGGGCAGAGGCACTCCGGGCAGCGGCACTCCGGGCAGAGGCACATCGGGCTGGACTCCGGGCAGAGGCACATCGGGCTGGACTCCGGGCAGAGGCACATCGGGAGATTACCAGGTGAAGCAGCAGGCACCGGGCCCCCCAGGCGGGGCGACAGGCATCGGGCCCCCAGGCGGGGCGACAGGCATCGGGCCCCCAGGCGGGGCGACAGGCATCGGGCCCCCCGGCGGGGCGACAGGCATCGGGCCCCCAAGGGGCGACAGGCATCGGGCCCCCAAGGCGGGGCGCGGGCCCCCAGGAGGGGCGACAGGCATCGGGCCCCCAGGCGGGGTGACAGGCATCGGGCCCCCATGAGGGGCGACGGGCATCGGGCCCCCAGGAGGGGCGACAGGCATCGGGCCCCCAAGCGGAGCGGCGGGCGCTAGGGCCCCCAGGCGGAGCGGCAGGTCTCGGGCCCCCAGGCGGCGGAGCGGCGGGCGCCAGACCCCCAGGCGGAGCGACAGGTCTCGGGCCCCCAGGCGGAGCGGCGGGCGCCGGACCCCCAGGCGGAGCGACAGGTCTCAGGCTCCCAGGCGGAGCGACAGGTCTCAGGCCCCCAGGCGGGGCGACAGGTCTCAGGCCCCCAGGCGGGGCGGCGGGCGCCGGACCCCCAGGCAGAGCGGCGGGCGCCGGACCCCCAGGCGGAGCGACAGGTCTCGGGCACTCCGGGCAGAGGCACTCCGGGCTGGACTCCGGGCAGAGGGACATCGGGCTGGACTCCGGGCAGAGGGGCACATCGGGAGATTACCAGGTGAAGCAGCAGGCACCGGGCCCCCAGGCGGGGCGACAGGCATCGGGCCCCCAGGCGGGGCGACAGGCATCGGGCCCCCAAGCGGAGCGGCGGGCGACAGGCATCGGGCCCCCAGGCGGGGGTGACAGGCATCGGGCCCCCAGGTGGGGCGACAGGCATCGGGCCCCCCCGGCGGGGCGACAGGCATCGGGCCCCCCGGCGGGGCGACAGGCATCGGGCCCCCAGCGGAGCGGCGGGCGCCGGGCCCCCAGGAGGGGCGACAGGCATCGGGCCCCCAGGCGGGGCGACAGGCATCGGGCCCCCAGGAGGGGCGACAGGCATCGGACCCCCAGGCGGAGCGGCGGGCACCGGGCCCCCAGGCGGAGCGGCGGGGCGCCGGACCCCCAGGAGGAGCGACAGGTCTCGGACCCCCAGGCGGAGCGACAGGTCTCGGGCCCCCAGGCGGAGCGGCGGGCGCTGGGCCCCCAGGCGGAGCGACAGGTCTCAGGCTCCCAGGCGGAGCGACAGGTCTCAGGCCCCCAGGCGAGGCGACAGGTCTCAGGCCCCCAGGCGGGGCGACAGGTCTCAGGCCCCCAGGCGGGGCGGGCGGGCGCCGGACCCCCAGGCGGAGCGACAGGTCTCGGGCCCCCAGGCGGAGCGACGCGGGCACCGAGTCACCAGGCACGACAGTGGGCACCGAGTCAACTGGCAAGACTGCGGGCACCGAGTCCAACTGGCGGAACAGCGGGCTTCGAGTCGTCTGGCAAGACTGCGGGCACCGAGTCGTCTGGCAAGACTGCGGGCACCGAGTCGTCTGGCAAGACTGCGGGCACCGAGTCGTCTGGCAGTCACCGAACTGGCGGAACAGCGGGCACCGAGTCAACTGGCGGAACTGCGGGCACCGAGTCGTCTGGCAAGACTGCGGGCACCGAGTCGTCTGGCAAGACTGCGGGCACCGAGTCGTCTGGCAAGACTGCGGGCACCGAGTCGTCTGGCGGAACAGCGGGCATCGAGTCAACTGGCGGAACTGCGGGCACCGAGTCGTCTGGCAAGACTGCGGGCACCGAGTCGCCTGGCAAGACTGCGGGCACCGAGTCGTCTGGCAAGACTGCGGGCACCGAGTCACCTGGCGGAACAGCGGGCATCGAGTCAACTGGCGGAACTGCGGGCACCGAGTCGTCTGGCAAGACTGCGGGCACCGAGTCGTCTGGCAAGACTGCGAGGCACCGAGTCGTCAATGGCAAGACTGCGGGCACCGAGTCATCAGGTACCGGATTGTCTGGCTCGACAGCGGGCATCGGGTCACCAGGTATGACAGCGGGCACTGGGTCACCAGGCATCAGGTCATTTGGCTCGCCAGCGGGCACCGCGTCATCTGGCAAGGCAGTGGGCACCGAGTCACCAGGTACGACAGCGGGCTCTGAGTCAATTGGCACGACAGCGGGCACCGGATCAGGTACCGGATCATCTGGATCAACAGCGGGCATCGAGTCAACTGGCCTAATAGGATCGTCAGGCTGGATCAGTTCATCATGCTGGGTAGAGGCATCAGGCTGAATGCAGGCGTCCGGCTGAGTAAAGGCATCAGGCTGAGTAGAGGCTTCAGGCTGAGTAGAGGCTTCAGGCTGAGTAGAGGCATCAGGCTGAGTAGAGGCATCAGGCTGAGTAGAGGCATCAGGCTGAGTAGAGGCATCAGGCTGAGTAGAGGCATCAGGCTGAATAGAGGCATCAGGCTGAGTAGAGGCATCAGGCTGAGTAGAGGCATCAGGCTGCGTACAGGCATCAGGCTGAGTAGAGGATTCAGGCTGAGTAGAGGATTCAGGCTGAGTAGAGGCTTCAGGCTGAACCACGGAAGGCAGGTTCACCGGTTTGGATACTGGCAGGATGGTATTGGTTGGAAAGAATTTTCGCTTTTTTCTGGTTTTAACTACTGGAGCACTGCAAGTAAACGCAGGTCTGCAAACGAATGGAGCAGCTGGAGACAGAGAAGAACTGGAGGATGGAACAGGGGAGGGAGCAGTTGCTACAGAGGGCTTTTTTACAGGGTTAAAGGCAGGATAGGTGCAGCGAGTGGGAACAGGGTACTGACATGCGGTAGATAGCAGGGCAGGAGGAGCTGTTGGGAATGCAGGAATAGAGCTTTGAGGAAATAGATTAGAAGCAGGACTGGGTCTTTTGTAAGCTGACTGAGGCTGGGTGCAACAAATCTGTCCATGTCTGCAGTATGGGTTGAACAAAGCTGAGCTTACACAAAGCCTGTCTGACTAAAGACTGCACTGCGTTTATACAATCTCTTAGTACCTGTGGTGAACATGCAGCATAATGCTCCAAGAAGCAATCCACATCATCCTCTAATAACCATACCAGGGACTCTACCTGGTCGGCACTAAATGGCGGCAAAAATTCATCCCTGCATTCGGGGGAACCAGATGAAACCAACTCTGCACAAATCTGAATCAATGGCTGCACCTCAGAGAATTCTGTGCCCTGATCTACTAGAACATGAGCGAGCCGTATACATTCAGCAGTTCATCCCGGGGATACTCCTTCAGAGTTAGATAAGCATACTCTCTGTCATCAAACACTAGCAGATATAAATACACAACCTCATCAAGATCCATCCTTCCCATCAACAAACCAAGATGGCTTCCCTGTGCAGCCACTTCTGGTCAGGATTGGCCTTGGTGTAATGTCAGGGCTCCCGGGTGTGACCAGAGGTGTGTGACTGACGCAGGGAAACGCAGACTTCAGATATATGTATCAACAATGTAATTTATTAACACTAACAATACAAACATAAACGCAGTGCAATACTAAAACATAACACAGTGCAAACAAACCAAACCAAACCACCCACAGATAACAGTACATACAATGCAAGCGTCGTCAGGCAGGCCGGGTCAATATCAATCGGGCAGGTAGGTACAGGGGGAGCAAGCGGAGAATGGTCGGGGTCACAAGCCAGGTTCAGCAGGTAGCGGGCAGCGTGGTACAGAGGGTCAGGCAGAGGAGAATGGTCAGACAAGCCAGGGATCAGGAGCAGGAGAATGGTCAGACAAGCCAGGGATCAGAGCAGGGTCAGCAGAGAATCAGACAGGAACAGGAAACAGGGCCCAGGAGAAACACAATACCAAGGCAGAGTCTGCAGGTCTGAATGTCCCTTAAATACACCAGTATAATTAGTTCCAGGTGTTTGACTGGCTGCAAGGTTGAGTCTCTGATTGCTGGGAGCACCCGCTGGCCAGCCCTGGTACTGCAGCTCATAAGGCAGGTGAGTCCCATTATTGCTGGCCAGTCCATTCCTGACACTCTGTTATAATTTCATAGGACCGTGGTCCCAATTTCTGTACAACCTTCACTTTTTTCCAGTGTTTGTCATATTTGCCTATTGGTTGAATCCGTACATTTTCATTGCTCTGGAGAACAGGCAGATCTTTTGCAGATTTATTATAATGGAAAGCTTGCCTATCTTGATTCTTTGTTAGTTTGGCTTTAACATTGCCCACAAGCTTTGGCTTTAGTAGTTGACCTGCAGTTGGTAGGAGAGTCCTTGTTTGTCTACTCATAAGCCGCTGTGCTGGACTGATGTCTAGGCCTTGTGTGGGTGTGTTTCTGTGGTCCAGTATAGACAGGTATATCTCTGTACCTGCCTGTTTTGCCTTTTGCATGAGTCTTTTGGCTGTTTTTACTGCTGACTCCGCTTTACCATTACTCTGTGATATCCAGAAGATGATGTCTGTGCTCAAATTCCCACCTCTCCCTGAATTTTTTGAATTCTTCAGATGTAAATTGAGCAGCGTTGTCAGAGAACACAATATCCGGAATGCCATATCTGGCAAAATGGGCCTTGAGTTTTTTAATTACTGTTTTGGCCCTTGTGTCCTGTAAGTAGTCTATCTCCCAGAAGTTGGAAAAATAGTCCACAGTTACCAGATATTCCTTGTCATTCCACGTGAACAGATCTGTTCCTACTTTTGACCATGGTCTGTTTGGAATTGGATGTGGTTGCAATGTCTCTTTCGGTTGCTTATCATTGCACGATGCACATATTTCACACTGTGCTATAAAGTTTTTTATGTGGTCATTCATTCCAGGCCAATAAACATATTCTCGTGCACGACGTAGACATCCTTCTACACCTAAGTGAGTCGAGTGCAATCTTTCTATAATGTCTCTTCTAAGGGATTTTGGTATGACAGCCGTTCTCCTTTTAAAGATGATTCCATGCTGCACAGAGAGTTCATCTCTTATGTGAAAAAATGGAGAAACCTCCATTGGACCATGCTGCTTGTGTTTTGGCCATCCCTTCAAGATCTTTAGGATCTGTAGAGTTATACTGTATCTTCCGCTGTGCAAGTCTGTATTTGTTTCAGTCTGTCTTTTGAGACAGACAGATATTCACACATATTGATGCTTTCAATGTCTTTTTCTTCTTCATTTGTGATGGGTAAGTAAGCTCTGCTTAGGGTATCTGCAATCAGTATATCCTTCCCTGGACAGTAACAAATGTTAAAATCATATTTCTGAAGCCTTAACAGCATACGCTGCAGTCTTTTTGGGGCATTCAGTAATGGCTTCTTTGTAATACTTTCTAAAGGCTTGTGATCTGAATGCACCACCACGTTGTCAACCATAGGTGTACTGGTGAAATTTCTCTAACCCAAATACTACCACTAGTAGTTCCTTCTCGATTTGAGCATATCCTTGCTCTGTTAGAGTTAACGCTCTGCTTGCATATGTGATTGGCTGTTTATCCTGCATTAGTGTGGCTCCAAGGCCGGTTTCTGAGGCATCACATTGTACTACCACTGCTTGATCTGGATCAAAATATTTTAGCGTTGCTGCGTCTGCAATAGCATTTTTCACTGACTGAAAAGCAGTTTCATGGTTTTCTGTCCATTCCCAGAATACGTCTTTGTGAGTTAGCTGTCTCAGTGGCTCACACATGTCTGATAAATGCTTGCAAAATTTGGAAAGATAATTCACCATGCCCAGGAATCGTTGTACTCCACGTATATCTGTAGGTGTCGGCATGTCCTGTATTTCCCCTCACCTTCTCTGGATCGACTTTAACACCATTTGAGGTAAGAAGATGTCCAATATATGGTACTTCTGTCATTTTTAGTTTGAAGTTTGCCAGGTTCAGTTTGATTTGTTTTTTTCTGCATCTGTCTAAAATTGTATCATCTTTTTATCATGATCGTTTGTTGCGGATTCTAGATCATCACCTTCCCCAACTATTAGTATATCGTCTGCTATTATTTTTACTCCAGACAGTCCTTCCAAAGCTTGCATCAATTTTTGTTGGAACACTTCTGGAGCCGGGCTTAATCCCATTGGCATTCTCAGCCACTTATAGCGTCCAAATGGGGAAGAAAATGCTGGTAATAAACTTGATTCTTTATCCAGTTCCACGTGCCAGAACCCATTTTTCACATCACATACCGAAAATATTTTAGCCTTTGATAGATCTGGTAGAATATCTTCTATTATTGGCATTGGATAGTGATTTCTTTTCAGGGCCTTGTTCAGTGGCTTAGGATCAATGCATATTCTTAACTTGCCTGATGGTTTTTTCACTACCCACCAAACTGCTTATCCAGTCTGTGCTTTCCTGTACTGGTGCTATCATACCTCTGCTGTGCAAATCCTGCAGTTCCTCTTTAAGCGGTTGCATTAAGGCTACAGGTACTCTTCTTGTAGGCAGTCTGGTAGGCTGTATTGTATGATCAATTTCTAGTTTGTATTTACCTTCCAGGCACCCATCACCTTCAAATAAATCAGCATACTCTGTTTTTATGTGGTGAAAATCCAAAATGTATTCTGCCTTTTGTTTAGGATTTTGAGTATTCTCAGAAACTTCCAGAGCCATGATGTTATGGGACTGCACCTTTATTAAGTCCATAGCCTGAACTGCTTTAACTCCCAGCAAAGGAATGTGATTGTCCTCCTGCAACACAGTAAACTCCACTCTGTAGCTCTTTCTGTTACGTGGATTTCTTAAATTTAGCTTGCATGTTCCCATGGGTTTCAGAACACTTTTGTTGTACATGACCAGTACCTTATCAGTGGGCTCAATGGGAACCTGTTTGTTAAGCAGAGTAAATGGAATGACATTGCAGCTTGCTCCATAATCCAGCTGAAATCTTATGGGCTGTTCATTCACCATAAATATGGCAAAGAGCTGCTTTGCATCATTGGCTACTGGCTGTTTGACTACATTGACGTTCTCTGTTGCAGACTGCAGCTATGTGATGCCCTCTGTGCTGTCCTCGTCTGTGTCCTGGGTCACTGTGTGGACTTGTCTGTACTGTTTGCTGGTTTTGAATCTGCACACAGCTGAAAAGTGGTTCATCTTGCCAAGTCCTGCAGGACTCCCCATATGCTGGACATTTCTCTTTGTCTCTT